AAGGTGGACAGGTCCTGCGCAGGCACATCGGCCAGCTTCGCCGCCGTCTCCTGCCGCAGGTGGCCGAACCAGCACCAGCTGCCACAGAGGCCAGCCACCCAGGACCACTACCGCTGCTGCTGGAGCACAGCAGGGAGGGGGACGTGCTGCGCGCCAGGGACTGTTCTGACCACGCAGAGTTGCCCACTCCCATACAGACTGTTCCAGAGCCCCGGGACTCTGCTTCTGACTCGCCATCCTTGCCCAGTGCCGCTACTGAGACCCCAGACAGGGCCCCTGTGACTTCGCCAACATGGTGGGAGCCGAGATGCTCTCAGCGGGAAAGGCGCACGCCAACGTAACTTGAGGACTATGTATGTTAAGGTGCTTTGGAACTTAGGGGGGAGGGGTGTTATGTATTAGGGCTGGAACATTCCAGGACTGGGTACCAGAGACTGGCAGAGCTTGGAGCTCTAGAACAATAGCCCACCAGGACTCTGGAGGTGACCAATGAGAAACTAATGTTATGTAAATAGCCTATCGTTGGGAGTTGGGTGTGTTTGGGTGTGGGTTTTGCATGTTATTTAAACAGGGCTGTTGCCCTGAGGTTTCAGTCTTGTTCCTAAAATCACTTAATAAAGTAAAGCTGTTCACTGCAATGTGGCTTGAACCCAGTATTTAACACCTCCACTACTTTCCAGAGGCCAAATGACATGGCTGAATTTCCAGTTAAAGAACTCCTCTGCATGCAACTTAAATAGGAGAAAGATTGGCTTTGGGGCATGAGTTGTCCATAGAGCTACCACAGAATCAAGCTCAAGGTCACCCTCCCTGTCCTTCTCCTCATCTAATAAAGCTGAAAGGAAAAAGTCTAGCCACCCCACACACACGGACACACACACACGGGAATGTGCAACTTCTGAGATTGGATATCTGATAATGCAGACAAAGCCTAAAAGACATAGTGATGGCCACTACTACAGATAGCTTTGAAAGGGGATTAGAGTCATGTAGGACAGATCCATCAGCGGCTACTAGCTATGATGACTAAAGAGAACTTCCACATCCAGGGGCAGTAAATCCCTGAATATCAGGGCTAGGAGGAAGGCTTTGGCCTCTATTCCTTGTTTATTGACTTTCCAGTGTACCTGGTTGGACACCAAATCTGGATGGAATAGATGGACCACTGATCTGATCCAGCAAGGCTCCTGTTATGTTTCTAATATTTACTACTGCAATTTTCCCTGCGGAAAATACTTAAGGTTTTCTAAAAGTCAGCAGAAAGAAGTGTTTTTCCCCCATCACTGTTTTCTAAATAGATACTTATGCCTTAAAATGGTTGTGGGGTATATTGATGAAAAATAAACAGCAGCAGACGTAGTATCCTAGACAAATATATTTGAGTAGATTAATACATTGTCAGTGCCCACAGAATACAATACACTTTTCCCATCTTTGATTTTCTGTAATAAATAGCATGGTGTATAATTGTAGGATTATGCAATACACAAATATCTAATTATAATCTGTAGTTGTGGTATACCTGTAACAGAATATAATTTTTTTCAGTTGCATGTGGCATTCCAAATATGTCCATCTCATCTACTTGACGTATCCTTTTAATAAGCTTCAACTAATAGATAACGTCTGTAAACTGTTTTGTAGCTTAACTTGTTCACTAGATTAACCAGTGGAACTGAAAGCCAAGCCATTCTATCCTCCACATGGATTATTGAGGTTTCTTCTGACCTTCTGCTCATCTTTGATATTGTAGCAAAACTACACAATTGGATTTGTACAGATTTCCCCTTGATATAATGTGGGGATGAAGGAAGATCTTGAAACACTGACCTCTCTTTTTTCTCCGAGAGGCCATTTTCCTTTTGTTAACCAATGATGAAAACCTTCTGAATGTCCCCACAGACTTACTTCAGTGGCAATTATCTCCCAACAAGACCGGGAACAGAAATGATGTCTGGAAAGTTTTGCTGACGGCAGCCACTATTTGATGAAACTCTTGACCTAATGGAAAAAAAAAGTAGAAAGAAAAAGCTGGTGGTGGCTTCTGAACTGACTAATTGTGGTACAAGATAAATTCTGTTCACTTCTACACTGGTCTCTGCCTTATTTAAGCATTAAGGAAATCCAGCAACATCCCACGCATTTAATGAAAGCAATAACAGCTTCTTGTCGTTTGTAATCAAGGGCAGTAACTGCCCCCTAAACTTTGTACATCCTTTCAACATCATGAGAGTGCCGGCAAGAGTTTAAACGTGTCAAACAAAGCCTCTTTTTAAACAAGGAAGAGCATCACAATAGGAATCGCCCCACAAGAATTCTAATAGAGCAGCCCTCTCTTAAGGAGCTTGGTTTTGCTCCTCTTTCTTTAAGCACCCTAGCTGCACATTTCAAAAAAAGTGTATTTAAGACATGAGCAGACCATAGCAACAGTATCAACTCTTTCATTAATGCAGATCAGATGCCATTAAGAGCTTGACATTTATCTGTTTTGACTGGCCATGTTCTAAAGACAAAGAAAGAACAATTTAGCTTGTAAGCTCACAAACCTCAGGTTCCAAGAGACCCTAACCCTGAGATGGCAATGTGTTCGAAGATCCCCTTCCCTCACTGCCAGTGCCGGATTTACGCATAAACTAAATAAGCTACAGCTTAGGGCCTCGCAATCTGCTGGGGCCTCAAATAAAAACACAATATAAAAATGATTTCAAATATTAAAAAGGCGTATATATTTTAAATTTTTCTGAGACCAGCTGATGTAATTTAAAACAGTAGGGGGCCTTTGGGTTTTGTATAGCTTAGGGCCTCAGCAAGTCTAAATCCGGCCCTGCTCACTGCACAACTCTGCCATCTGATGATCGGGGGGGGGGGATAGAAGTTAGGGGAAGAAGCCAAGAAAACTCCCTCTCTGTTCCTGCCATCAGATGCTTTAACCTTAGATTGTAAACATCAATCTTGCAGATTGTAAACATCAATCTTGCAGAATTTTCGTGAGACACTAACACCTTTAGCAAATGCATATTAAATACAAGACACAAATTAATAACCATAAGGAGTTTTATGGTTATGGGCACAACCTATGTGTATGTGTGAAATCTGGACAATGGTCTCATGAAATAAAAACTAACTAATTGATGGCATGGGAAATGCTCTTTGGAAAGATTATCTTAAATGTCTGTGTAAAGATTATGTCGTGTATTCAGTATATTTGAAGAGTGGGGAGGGAATAACAAACACCAGAATATTATACCTTTAAAAAAAAACAAAAATGTGGTGGCTCTGTGGAATACAAAAGCATATTTGAACATCTTCAATATGGCGACCTTCAAAGATGTTCTGACCCTTAGCATAGATGCCAGGCCTGCACTTATTAATCCTTGATAGAAGTTTAAATTTACCTTATACTTCATTAACCTACATCTTTGTACTAATTCTACACTTGATACAGGTTTGCTTCACATTCTACAGTAGGGAGTATATTATCGGTACTTCTTTCACACACCATCCATTTGTCTACTGTTTCCAAGAGAATGGTATATGCAAATACTGTCTTAAACATTAGAACAAAGGCCTCCCATCACACCCTTCATTCTTTAGAAAAGGAGCTTCAAAGGGGTGTGATTGAAAGATCCCCTGCTCCAGATAATTCTCTAGGCTTTACACACATTTTTTTTTTGGGGGGGGGGAGGATGCCATCTTGGGGAACAGGAGAGGGTTAACTCCCCCTTCCTCCTGTTTTTCTATTCTGAGTAACACCCTTCTGAAGCTACTTTTCTACCTCAGTTGCACATGATGTGAATTTGGCCACAGCCATCCCCATACTAGGAGAACCTGTGCTTCCCCATCCCCACCATGCTGCCTCTTGCATGAAACCTGGGATGTAAGAAGAGGAAGTAAAAATCACTTGTTTCTTCATTTGATTTGACGCCACAAAGCAGTTTCTCCAGCTTCTAGGGCTGATAGTAGTATTATCTGCATGCAGTGTTTGTTAACGTAATATATAAATGCAATAAGATGAACTTTTGTTCTGATAAATGAAGTAAAATGCCACTACAAACCAAAAGCACTGAAGCAAGTACTGACTTAAAACACATCCCAGAACTGTCGTTTTACCCTTATGTACTATTTGTGGTACAAAAAGGAAATATTACCCAGAAGCGTCTGACAGCAATGACAGATCTAGAACACTGGATGATCCTCCTGGAAATGGTGTATGCAATGTGAGAAACTGGCACAGACAAGGTGTGATTCCTTGAGAGCAGATAGATAATATAAAGTTATACCAGTAGGGAATGTATTTTCCATAGTGGAACCCAACACAGCCACCACCAGATAAGGGATCCAACATATTTACACTATATAAAAAGTGAGCTCTCTGCGTGTGTGTGTCTGTGTGTGTGAAGAGCCATGAAGTTGCTTCTGACTTATAGTGACACTATGAATTAATGACCTCTCAAAGGTCCAATCATTAACAGCCTTGCTCATATCTTGCACACTGAAGGCCATGGCTTCTTTTATAGAGTCAATCCATTTCATGTTGGGTCTTCCTCTTTTCCTGCTGTCTTCAACTTTTTCTAGCATTGTTGTCTTTTCCAGTGACTCTTGTCTTCTCATAATGTGACCAAAGCACAATAGCCTCAGTTTAGTCATTGTAGCTCCTAGGTGGTTGAGGACACATTTGATCTAGAACCCACTGATTTGTCATTTTGGCAGTTCATAGTATATGACAGTTTTATAATGAGAATTCCCATTTGAATTAAAGACTCCAACAAAGCTTATAAAATATAAAAAGAAGACTTTATTAAAATGGATGTCCGTTAAACCTTTATATAAAAACTAAGGCCACAGCTAATGCTAAAATAATGTCAACTTTCAAAGGTTTTATACTATGATTTAAATTTCTTATACAAAGCTATCTTACAAATGATTACTCAAACGTAACACTGCTTATTCTAAAATTTAATGGTACAAAATATTAACTTTAATACATATACTTTGTGTTTCTTTTGGTCCTTTGAGGAAAATTATTTTTTGCATGGCTCCTGGTACAGAAATTAATTAAAATGAAAAGGTGGCAGCTTCAGTGCTGAAACCCGATAATCCTTTATTTTTGTGCTAGATTCAGTTCTTTTCTTACACTGTTAAACATCTCCAGTCATGATAGCAATGAACTCCTCCTGGTTGACTGTAAAAAAAGACAACAATAATAAATGTACAGTATATTTAAGCATTTGTATATTCAATCAAATTCGTTCCTTTTTGGCAATGTCAGCAAAATTCTCTCTCAAAAAATATTGCGGTATATCAGAAAGCCCGCTCAGCAGCACCCTTTGAACAGAATAGCTTGGTATGCAATCATAAAGCCAAGAACTTTAAGATAATTAAGATAGCCTGGTCTTACTAAAGCAGCTCAATTTGTAATGAAGTATTTTTACATATAAGACAGCACTGAAAATATAAGTATTTTTAAGTAAGAATGAGCCATCATGATTTGTCAAGTATCGCTACAAGAATGGATCACCACAATATCCCTCATCAGGCCGCCTTAAATTATTTACAGATTCTGTAGTACTGTATATTTTTGATAACAAATGGTAGTTCTTAGTTTCTGAATTCCATATTTATGTTTCAGTGATTTATACTGCAGTTTCAACATGGTAGTTGAAGCAACAATTCATTTCCATTTAATAAACCACTGCTAACTATAAAATTAGAGAAGCAGCCACTGCACTAATCAGACACAACTTCATAACATGCCATAGAATTTCACATTAGAATAGGAAGGAATATAATTTCATTTACAGTTCAATGGGGAGTTTGCAGAACAGGCAGTTTCCTAAATGGCAAATCTGAGCAGGGCTCATCATGAGATTCTCAAAGCAAGTGAATTCAATGTACTTGCTTTGTTCTTCTCAGATTCAAGAACAGGGTATAAAAATGTTACATTCAGTACTCACTTTCTCCATCACCATCTTTATCGAATTCTTCAATCATAGCCCGAAGTTCTTCATCAGTCATGTTTTCCCCAAGTTCTCTGGCTACTCGACGCAAGTTTCTCAAGCTTATTTTACCTGAATCATCATCATCAAACAATTTAAATGCTTTGAGTATCTCTTCGTGTGGATCTCTGTCAAGTATCCAGTCTGTCACTAAAATAGGAAAATAAGATATTGAGGCTTCCATAAAAATAAACTTTTGTTGGCCAAATTTTATCATCCTTGTAATTGCCCCAGGCTCTCTGACTCAAATCATTTAAGAGGTTCCTCTTCACCTTCTATCTGAAAGGAGATGGAGTGCCTTAAGTACATGGATAATGTATTCTACATAAATAAAAAGCTCTGTTCCACCATAAGCCTACTTCTTCAGTTTTTTGAGGCAACGAATTGCCATGACTACTCCTCTAGCATTCTATACAAGAGATTAACATGTTTTCATCACAACCTTATTGGGAGTGGGTAAGTACTCCCCAAACTCTGCACAAAAACACTGAAATGGTAATGTTCAGGTCAGGGGCCACTCACATTTTGATTCTATAGCAACATAAATTTATTAAACAATGCTGCACTTGTTAAACCTATAAACACCAAAGCAAAACTGAAGTATAATTGCTTTTCAATTTATATTTTAAAAATCTGAAGACAGAATAAAAAATATATCCAAAAATAGGTACTGTAAAAAATAGAAAGGCAGGAAAAATCTTTTAAGCTATTCATTAAAAAAGGCTTAACACTGTTATCCCTGGAACACTTGTACATCAAGAAACAGATGACCTAATCTTCTAGCAGCTGGTTATTGCCAGGCTTTCATGTCAATACATATGTACAGTACCTACCAACTTCATTAAAATCTTCAAAGGTGATTTTCCCAGTTCCTGCCCGATCATAATCTTTAAGTATCTTCAACACATCTGCCTTTTTAACATCAAAACCTAAGGCTCTCATTGCCACCTTTTGGGAAAAAACAGAAATGCAATGATGCTTCAGGTTCAATACTGGAAGGGAACCCTGCTTATTTTTACACAATAAATTGAAATAAATATCTACAGGAGCAATGTGGGTGCATATTGGGAGGAGGGGTCCACCAGAAAATAAGACTGTGTAAGTATTATCTTTTTTAAAAGTTGGCCTGTTTTTGGACATTGCCATTTAACTCATGACAACTTAATATTAATTATCATATTTCAATGTCCAAACCATTTGTACTAGGTCAGGTGACCTTTTTATCAGTGCAGCAATAACCGATTGTGGGCACCAATACTCTTCTTAGATGATATCAAAGAAAATATAGGTCAGATGCTTGGAATGACAAGACCTTAAATGATTAAACATCGTTGCAGAGGCCTATGAATTAATCACCACACTCCAATCACAAGAGCATCCACTGCCCAACTGAGAAGCAGGACTTTGTATGCTTCTTCTGAAAGTATTGCAACTTTCTCTATGTTAGGAAGTAGACTAGCTGGCCCAGAAGCAGTGGATAAGGCATCACTTCTCAGATGACAGCCTTCCAAACAGGAATTAGTATACTGTCCCAAAGGCTTCTGCAGTAATTTGAGAGCTGCTGGGTGATTTCTTATTTCCTGGTAAGAAGAACAGTGAGAGAAACCAAGACAGATTCTTTCGTGCTCCTGTTATCCCTGCAAGCTTTTCTCAAGGAAAGAGCTAAAGGAAGCAACAACGACCAGTCCGAGCAACATAAGTCATCCTTCCCTACTGCCAAAAAGAATGGGTAGAGAACTCCAAGGTGCCCATGGACCAACAGTTGGCCACCCTCTGTTCTACATACGTCATCTTATCCTCTTGTTTTCTGCCAATTCTACAACACAAGTTTAATGCATGAAGCAACCCATGGAAAAAACACATGGTACAAAAGAGATGTAGCTACAACGTCATATTGCCACCAAAAACATGGTATTAAAAAACTAGTCTGCTTTCCAGAGGTCTGGAAACATTTTAAAACAATAATTAAAATATTTCAGAATACTCTTTGACCTCACTGATTTTGCAGCAACCGATCCTAAATAGTTTATTGCCAACCATTTCTAACTGACTTAAAGTCTGTAAACCATAGAGCTTTGAGAAAAGAGCAAAAAAAGGGTAGGGGAAAGATTTCTGGGGGGAAACTGGAGTCTACATCCAGGTTCCAACATTATCCAGTTAACTTTTTGGTTCTAGCTTGTTCAAGAGACAGTGAAAGAAATGGCATCACTACATCTTAAGAATTAGAATGTTGTTTGTGCTAAGAGAATTAGTTATTTAGACGATTTAAGTAACAATACCATACATACACTAACTCTAACAAGTATCTGATAAAGAAACCTACTATACAATAGCAAGAGTGTGTTATGTTATGTACACTGCAATGTAAGCAGGGTTACACAATTCAAAGCCTGCTGACATCAATGGACTCTGAAGGGTGTTTAACTGCTTAAGTCTGAACAGAAACATTAGCATTTTCCTTCCAGATCTGAACTCTCTCTCTAGCACACATAAATAAATTTCATTATACACAAACACACACCTTGAATCTCTATTCCGCTCCTAGTTTTAAATGCCTCTACCTTTAGGCTGCTTCATATATCAAAGCAAAAAAGGACAAATACTAAAAAATCATATTCAAGAACTATTACAGCACAACTCTATGAGCTCGGACCCTATTCAAATTTTTATTTCATATATGAATTTGCTACGTGGTCCTATGAAAGCCACTTTCTCTCTTCTGCCTCAACTGCAATATGGGGATAATACTGGTCTACATACAGGGTTGTTGTATGGATTCCACAGAATCTATGCAAATACTCCAAACTGAAATACTATCACACCACACTTGTTTTTATCTCAGTCAGTAACTTGCGTTTATTCATTGTATGTATATCACAGAAACACAAATCACCATATTCAACTGCCTCATATATTGCAAAGCAGAAGAGAGTACATATTAAACTTTTAACCAGTATACATTTTCTCTGTGACATGAAAAGTGGCTGTAAGACCCTAGCACTGATTCTATAAACTGTTCCTTGGCCAAACTTGCAGTTGTTAAAGTGCAACCACTTCTCCTGCATTCTTGTCCTACAGAATAAGTATTCATAGCTGAGCATATCTGAACACCTACCCTACTAAGAGTGAAAGCATTTAGAAACCAACTACTATCAAAACAAAATGTCAAATGAAGAGAAAAATATTGCCTTTAGCTCATGATAATCTATAGCTTTATCTTTATCTGTGTCAAATAACTCAAAAGCATCTTTTATTTCTTGCTTCTGTTCTTCAGTTAATTCTCTTCTCTTCTTTCTCTTAGTTTTTTCAGCAGCAAGCTCCGCTCTAGAATAAAAAAAGACACACAGATCAGTAACAGAAAGCACCAGGTTTTTTCCCTTTAAAGAACAAACCTTTATGAGTTCTAGAATATTAGCTGTTGTAAATTTTCCGGGCTGTATGGCCGTGGTCTTGGCATTGTAGGACCTGATGTTTCACCAGTAGCTGTGACTGGCATCCTCAGAGGTAACACAGAAAGATGGAGTACTCTCTTCCAATGTTCCCTCTAAGCTTTGGAGTCTTGTGAGCAAGAATTCTACTTTGTGAGCTACTGGCATTGAAGTTGTGAGCAGGCAATTTCTCTACTGCATAAATTAGTTTGCTCTGGAGCCATCCTTCCTGAGCTCAGGCAAAAATCTGTCAGCTGGAAGCTGAAAAACTATGAGCTAGCTCACACTAACTCAGCTTAGAGGGAACAGTGCTCTCTTCTATGTTATACCTCTGAGGATGCCAGTCACAGCTACTGGCGAAACATCAGGTCCTACAATGCCAAGACCATGGCCATACAACCCAGAAAATCTACAACAGCTAATGAACTCCAGCCGTGAAAGCCTCCGACAACATAGTTCTAGAATACATCTTAAGCAAGTGGGTGGATATTTTATAATGGACGTGAGTAATCAGGAGATTATCAGCCTTGTTTATTTTGATGTTTTGATTTATTTAGATCTTTTCAACTCAGCATTCAGTAAAAAGGGGAAATTATAATGTTAAAGAGGCTGTGGCATTATCAAAAGCTACTGCAGTTCCTACATTAATTTAGCAAGTCTCAGCAAACCTAATGCCACTCATGTTTGCACCTATCACAAATGAAAACAAACCTGCATCAAAGAGCTCACCCCCCCCCCGTGTGTGGTGCCAGTGCATGAATAGGGACAAAACATCAGTGGCATTAATGGGGTTGCCAGCCTCCAGGTGGGACCTGAAGATCTCCTGGAATTATGACCAATCTCCAGACCACAGAGACCAGTTGCCCTGGGGAAAAGGGCTGCTTTGGAGGATGCATTCTATCGCATTAGACCCTGCTGAGGTCACTCCCTTCCCCAAACCATGCACTCCTCAGGCTCCACCCCTAAAAATCTCCAGGTATTTCCCAACCTACAGTTGGCAACCCTAGACATTAAGTTTGTCAAGATTCTTATAACAATAATTAGCAGCAAATTTCCAAACAGTAATTACTAATTAGCTAAACAGAGAAAGACAGAGTGGGAATAACTACGTCCTTTACTTGCCCCCCCCCCCACATCCCTCATCTCACAACTGCAGGAAGCCCTCTGGCAAATACAAAATGAACAACTTTTGAACAACTCAAGGAATCAAACACCGGCAACGTCAGATAGGCTTGAATGAGTGGTTTAAAAAAAAAAAAAAAAAGACTGCTGCTAATTTCTTTCATTTGCGGTTGATTCCTGTACTTTATTTTAAATTAATACTGTATTTTAATTGGTTGACTATTATCTTATTGTCTTGTTTGTTATTTTTACTAGGTGCTTCGAGGGGAGGGGTGGGGTCAAAGACCTTTAAGTAAACAACGCAATCCAAACAACACTTTCCTGGCATCAACCCCGAATAAAAAGGATTCTGAGAAGACCTGCTTATGACTGCTGTCTAAATAACCGTGAGGCACACAGTAGAAAAGAGCAAGAGTCCAGACTCCAGTAGCACCTTAAAGACTAACAAAACTTGTGTCAGGGTATGAGCTTTCATGGGTCACCGCTCACTTCTTCAGATGCTCTGGATAAATGTCTGAAAAATTGCCCATACAAAATTCTGTAACGTTTTCTGCTGAGCTGAACAGAATTAATTCCATTCAGAATTCGTCCTCAGATCTTCCTGAGCGCAGAGTACCTGTCCAAACATTTTTTGGATCGCAAAAGGAGAATGCAGGCAGGAAGGAAAACCCTTCAGCGCCCTTCTCTTAACTTTTAAAACAGAGCGCAGCTTCGCCCACTAGCGAAGCCAGCGAGCGCCCGTGCTAATATCGCGGCAAGCGACTCGGGAGAACTAAACATTGAGTTACCATAGCAACAAGAAGCAAGCGCCCTTCACGGCTTCCCTCCCTGCCCCCGTTTGTACCAACCTCGAGACCAAACTCATTGTCCTGACCCCAACCCCTCAGCCAGACTCCGAGTTGGGCGGCAGCGTGCCTCTGCTACTGCGACCCCCCTCTCGGGACCCGGAATTAGAGCCCCAACAACCTCGCAAACGAGTCGTAATCTGTTCCGTCCGACAACAACACCGTTCCCTCCTTCCTCAGAGTCCAGCTACGATTGGATACGGCCAAAGTTCCTCCCACCTCTTTCTGTTTTATACTTCTGTGACAGGCTGAGCTACCTATCAGTCAAATCGATGACGTTTCCCCCCCGGTTAACCCATCAAAAAACCGGTTGGCTACGAGCAAACGTTACCCAGAAGGCAATGAGGCTTAAAGTCACAGTCTCTTACAATAATAGGAAGCTGGTTCAGGGGTGGTTTACACACACCGCCTCGCCGTAAGGCGCTGGTGACGTTTGGCTGCCAACCTCCAGCTGGGGCCTGAAAATATCCCTGAATTACAACTCCAGACGACAGAGAAGAGGTCCTCTGGAGAAAATGGCAGCGTTGGCAGGTTGAACTCTATGGGTTTATACCGGCTGAGCCCCCACCCCACCCCCCAAAAAATCTTCAGGTATTTTCCAACCCTAGGGTGGCAGTCCTAACATGGAGTGGCCTCAAGCCTCCATCACAGTATATTGTTGCGTGAACTCAGAAAGCCATGCCAACCCCCTTAAGCCTCAGAAAAATTCTTCTAGGAGCTCATTCCAGCAGGAGGGAACTGAGTTCTAGTTTAAGTTCAGCTCTTTAATCACTTTTTTTCCTTCATTCCTGAAAACTCTTGGAACTCAAAAGTAAGCCTGTGTGCTAGTGGAGTAACTGGAGTTCTGACACCAAGGCTCTCAATTGGTTTGCCTCATATTTATATTTGGTTCTCCCCATCCTCCTTGAACCGCCCTTTTATATCTTATAACCTTCATAAGTCTTGGACTGATTTTGCACGTCACTTGCCTCGTTCCATGCAGGGTTTCCCCCCGAAGATTGCCCCGGATCGTTTTGTTCAATTTCCCATTGAAGGTTTTGGCCCACCGCTGTTTGTAATCTGCCTCCATGATGAATAAAATTGGTAACGATTTTTTGCCAGCTGGCTAGGTCCTTTGATGTGATATATATGGGAAGCGTTTGAAAGAAGTAATTTAATTTTGGGAGTGCCATCATTTTGATAGCGTTGATTCTACCCATGATTGTCATGTGTAACTGGGTGTTCCCTCTAAGCTGAGTTAGTGTGAGCTAGCTCACAGTTTTTTAGCCTTCAGCTCACACATTTTCGTCTTAGCTCAGGAAGGATGACTCCAGAGCAAACTAATTTATGCAGCAGCCAAATCACTCACAACTTTAATGCCAGGAGCTCACAAAGTAGAATTTTTGCTCACAAGACTCCACAGCTTAGAGGGAACATTGAGTCACCATCTTTTAATATCTCTTATTTGTAGAATAACCGGATGGAAGTTTAGCTGCTGTAATTTATTTACATTCTTTAGGATAGTAACTCCCAGATATTTGAATGTTTTATGATATATGGAGACTCCTAACTCATTTCGAATTTCAATTTATCGCTTTGAATTTCAATTTGCATTTTTAGGTTGATATTTATGCATAGTATTCCAGACGTTTTATAATTAATACGTAATCCTGCAATTCTTCCATAATCACAAATCTCCTTCATTAATCCAGGTAGTGCTTCTTTAGGATTTACCATTAATACAGCTACATCAACTGCAAACATATTCATTGTATGTACAAGTGCATTTATCTCTAGGCCTTGAATTTGCTTTATTAGCCCTTTTTGCAATTGCCAGAGGTTCTAATGAAAGAATAAAAAGCAAGGGTGACAAAGGGCAGCCCTGTTTAGTTCCCCTGGTCAGGGGAAAGCTAGCAGAATCAAAACCATTTATTTGTACTCTAGCTTTGGACTTTTGGTATACTGAATTGCATTCATAAAATATTGCCCAGTATTTAATTTTCTTAGCACTCGATTGATAAAGTCCCATTCCAAATGATCCAAACCTGTGCATCAAGAGATGCTATGGCTAATGGTGTCTGACTTTTTTTACTAACGTAAATGGCATCCAATACTCTTCGTCTTGGATCTGCTATTTGCCTTTGGGGTACAAAACCCAATTGGTCTGGAGAAACATAATTCTCAATTATAATGCTCAGTCTCTACGCAAGGACATCTTGGTTCAATAATGTTATTGGTTGGTAGGAATCTAGTTGGTTTGTTTGTTTACCAGTCTTTAAAATCACTGTAATCTTTGCGTCTTCCCATGAGTGTGGTGCTTATCTTTCATTATTTGGTTGAATAATTTTGTCATAAATGGGAGTAATAGGACTGAATTGTTTGTAAAATTCTGGGCCATAACCATCTATACCTGGAGAACCTCTGATAAGTCTTGGGTGAGCATGGAAGCAGATGGGAAACATCTGAATTTGAGAAAATAGTTTTGGGAGGGATAAAAGTAAGAGCCATTAAATGCATAGTGAACCCTTTCCTATATACATTAAAATTTTGGGTTAAATGGAAAAATTAACTGATCCCAGAGATATCCCCGTTGATTCCTATCAATATTACATCCCAATTTCTCGTGTCTGGATAAACCAGAAAGTATCTTAAATGGAAAGAAAAAGGGATTTATAGAATGAGAGATCTTTATGTAGACGGGATTCCCTTTACTGTGATGGAACTAAAAGAAAAATTGCAAGGCGAGTTAAATTGGTTTTTGCTATATCAATTGCATTATCTAATTGCAAACCCTATGGGTAAGGCAAACCATGACTAGAAAGCTGTTGAAATTTGAACAGATTTTAATGCAACATATGACAAGTCTAAAAGGAGTAATCGCTAAAATATACACTTATTTAATTGAGATAGATTCAGGTTCACTAAATGTGTTGAAAATAGCATGGAATAAAGATACCGGAATAATAACAAATAAAAAATGCTGGAATGTGTAAACAGCAAGACAATTATATTCATATGTGGTCGCTATGCCCATTAGTGTCAGAAATGGCAAAAATTACACATCAAACCATCTGTGTTACACCAGCTTTGGCCCTATTAACAGTATAGAAGAAACAGAATGAAAAGGTGACGTCTAAAAGACTAATAGTGTTTAGATTAATGGAGGTGTGCAGGACAGTTGTTAAAAGTTGGAAAGCCGCCCTGAGCCGGCCTCGGTAAGGAGGGCGGGATACAAATCAAACAAATAAAATAAAATAAACTGTAGATTTTTGAAAAGTGGCATGATTGTATTTCATACACAACTCAGAACAGTACTCAGAGTATGTTTAAGCCGTTCCTCACATTATGGGATAAAATTAAGTAAGCCTCCTTCTATACTTTAATCATATTGCAATTATACATTAATTATGTATGTTTACAGGAAAAGAAAAAACAACGGAAAAGAATTCCTTCTCTTTGTATTTATGCCAAATGTTGAGCTCTCTACCAATGCCTTAATTTGTTTGCTTACTTTTAAAAAATTCTATGTGTTATGTATACACTGTAGATTGCTTTCTATATGGGGAGTGGGGTGTGTACATGATGTTTATGTCTCTTTTTTCTATATTTAAATAAGAATTTAAATTCTCAAAAAGAGTAACTGACATTCTGAGCTGTGAAAACTTTTGATTCATATCTCTAGTGCTCACTGGGAGGACCCAGGGGAAACACAAGCTCTTCCATGGCCTATTTTTTTTTTCTGGTAGACCAGGAGCTCTCCTAGCAAATTAATATTGCAGGCTGTTCTGTAGGGATGAAAAACAACAAACAATTAGGACCAGTCAATCATCAGACAGTGGGAATGGTAGAATTTTTGCACACACTGTTATTAGGCTGCCTACAAGAAAAAATCCTCAGACAGCAGTAGGAAAAGAATTTGTAATTTCTACATATTTTCTTGTTTTACCTGCATATTCTGTCAGCATGACAACACCTGAACATTAACTACAGGAGAACAAAACAAGATGGCTATAAAACCTGTATATACGATAGTAAACCAGCAGATGGCATCAAAGTTGCCAAGACATATGGAAGAGACCAAAAACATTAATACACAACTTTTTTTTGTAAACTTGTTCTTCTTGTATGCACGTGGAAATGAGATGCTGAGGTTTTCAAACAGCACCAAAGCAGAGTTGCCAACCTTCAAGTGGGGCCTGGAGATCTCCCACTATTACAAATAATCTCCAGATCGCAGAGATCAGTTCCCTGGGAAAAAATGGTTGTTCTGGAAGGTGGACTCTATGGTATTGTACCCTGCTGAGGTCATGACCCTCCCCAGGCCTCACCTCCAAAATCTTCAGGCATCCCCCCCCCCCCAAGCTGGCAACCAACTCTTGGTTGGGAAATTCCTGGGGATTTGGGGGTGGAGCCTGGTGAGGGGAGGGACCTCAGCAGGGTATAATGCCATAGAGTTTACATTCCAAAGCAGCCATTTTCTCCAGGGGAACTGATCTCTGTAGTCGCTCTGGAGATCAGTTCTAATTCCAAGAGATCTGCAGGTCTCACCTATACCAAAGCTTTCTGGAAAGAAGGGGGAAATGGCAATTTCATTAGAGAAGTGATTAACAACTGCAAAAATCAAAGTAGATTAAGTTATTGATTTTACAGAAATACCACCTCTCCCCCCCCCACCATCTATTTTGAGTGTTTGTGGAAGCTAAAGAGAAAAGTATGAACTTGTGTATCCTTCTGAATTACAGTTATCATAGCTTCCGAAAATCTTCTACTTTTTATCCTGGGCACAGATTTTTCTGCTTCTTTTGAACACAAGGAGGCACTACCAATATTCATTAAATTAAAACAAAAATGTGCAAACAGCAAACACCAGCTGAAGAGAACAGGAAGGCATCCAGGCAACCTTTGGCAAGAGATGTTTATACTTGAGGAACTAAGAGCTTAGATGAGCCCCAACTCAGCTCAGTCATGGCTTCATGGGACAAGAAAGCACTTAGGCAAGCCATTACCTCTCACAATCTGCCACTGCATGGTGCCCTACAAGCCCTTCAGAGGTAATGTGAAGTTCTGTAGTAAAGGAGAAAAGAACCATGAGAAACACTTTTGATGTCTTGCATACCTTGTAATAGTGAACTGAGCCACACAGACATAAAAAGTAACCAAATATACATTCGCTGGGCCTTCAGAGCAAGGAATGAGATTACATGGACATACTTACGGCCAACGGCCATATACAATAATCGATTCCCTCAAGATCAGAGCAATTCTATACTTTCCTCCTCCTTTTAGACTCCGCTAAAGAAATTACTCATAACATAGCAAAAATTTATATAATGGCATGCACAATATGAAAGCAGATTATTCAGTCTTCACATAACTGACCCCCTCTAATGTGAAATCTGCAAAAATTTTGAAATGTTGGAATATAATGGCACACAAGTCTTTTTTGTTGGTCCTGGTATTGTACGTGGTAACTTTTATTCTTTTTATTAGTATTTTCCAAGCTGAACATATAAAAATAAACTGAACTGATGGGTCAAATATAACATGGAAACAATTACTACAAGTCCATTTCCTGTTATAATTCCTTTTATTATCAATATCCATGATAAAATAATACAGTTTCCATTGAAAGAATGGCAAATACCATTAGTAAACTTTGGATAGTATGTTTTACAATTTTTAAAAAGGTCTTTAAACTTAATTTAACACCATGACCCACAACCCAGTCAAACAAACAAACTTTTGTAGCAATAGCAAGATTAATTTAGATTAAATAACTTTATTTCAGATGGGTTATGGGGTTAATTTTCAGCTATTAAAAACAACCCAAACTTTGAACACATAGGAGGCTTCTAGACCTTTTACAAATAAAGCAATAATAAATACCTTATACTCTGTAATATTTCAAGAGATCATATATGCTTCAAAACCCAAACACACTAGTGATTAAATTTAAAATTTTTAATAATCCTTTAGAAAGTGAATACTTGCTTTAATATAAAAATAATTAAGACAAAATTATATCCTCCTAGAATTCTGGGATTGTACTTTACTAACCAACACTAATCCAAAAATGAAACGTGATTCACTAATAAATTAGAATTTCTTTAAGTAGATAATCTGGCTTTGCAAACATGAATTCAGTATTAAACAGAGTACAAGCCCCCAGTTTAAAATCAGAGACCTAGATTTCCCTGGGGTCTTTCTGTGGGTTGAAGGATTTCCATTCGTGGAGCATAACCTTCTCACCCTGAAGCCCCCATGAACAAGATTTGTGTGTGTGGGTAGGAGGAGATGAGAAAAGCTGTACTCTGTCCGAGAAATAATTCTGTCCACAGGAAAAAAAATCCACAGGATGTAAACTATAGAGTTTGCATCGTTTGTTGGTAGCTACTGGCTCAAGAAGTCAACAGAACTGTCCCAATAGTGGCAACTCAGCTCAGTTTTTACAATCAATACTGATCTTTGGCAGTCACACCTTAGCTTCTTCTTGCAAAGAGCAATCTAGTTAGAGTTACTAAGGGGAAAGTGTTCAAGAAAGGATTTTCAGAACACTGACCATGGGAGCTCAGAATTAAGGCAGCTTGCTTTACTTCAGGGACAAAATCATCATCAGTACCTCAGCTGTGTTCCAGAACAGCAAAGTGACTCTAACGATTCAGTCTAAGAAGAGAAACAAGGCACTAACTTTTCACAGAAAGCCACTTCCAAACAGGTTATAAATATTCATGAAGCAGAAACCAAAGACAGACTTAGCTATGCTTAATGCTGCTCTTAATAGCTAATGGCAGTTAAGGAAAGAAGCGGTAATTCACTCCAGGAGAGGGGGGGAAGGAGCATGTGATACCAACTCTAGTTATGAGCATTCCTTTTTTTATGCCTACACTGGCCAGCAGAATTAGCTGAACTTTCTACTTTCATATTACTGCTTTGTAAGTAACAATCCCATTTCAGCTGATGGCAGCTGGTAACTTCTTCCCAAACAATTAAAGGGTCCTGTTTCAGTGGTTCTCATTACAACAGTCCTTCCCAAGCTATAATAAGCAATCAATGTTAGGTACACCTATTTCCCCATTAGTTTGGTGTGCGTTTCATAAAAGATTAGAGCTACATAAAATTACTAACTTTGTCTCTGAATGGCTGGCTATTAACTCACAAGTCTGATCTTCCTGCTTATACTGTTTTGCTCCAGTATAAAACAGGAACTAGGCACAGATAACATTTAAAAAACTGAATACATCCATACATCCACCCTCGAGACTCCTCAGAGCTAAAGTGCTGAATACACAGCAGTCAAAATATGTATATGCAGAGTTCTTTGATGTAGAGAGATTATATAATCAAGTGATTAAAGGATGAAAAATAAGTTTTGGCAGCAGCAACAATCCTGAAGCCATTCACTGTTCTCACAAGAAAGGAAGAATATGAATAGACAACCTAGAATCTAGTTCCGAACAGATGGTTACAGTTTCAGATTCAGGACATGAACCTTATCTTCACACTGGTAATGCTCCAAAAGGATTACACAGGATTTTTCACTGAGGAAAACACACAGATGTTTTCGTTAAGATGCTTGAAAGCAAAATATATGCAGAGTGGAACAAGCCAGGAGGAACAGGCAGAGGAAAAACAGCATCCCTCAGTGGGCAAAAATGGGTTCAAAACGTTTACCTGAAATCTCAAATCTTGCAGTGTAAAACAGCTGCGGCCTTTTCTGTAAAGTGTGCTCTATCTCCTGAGACCCACTATAGTACCACAGTGGTCCAGAAAATAATTTATAACCCACAAATACTAAGGTGGTATTGTAGCTGTTAAACCACAGTAACAAAAGGACTTTAAAAACATGGGGTTTTATATTGTATATAAAACTGTTAGAATTAACTTTTAACAATTATGCACTTTACTTTTAGTTTCTTTTTTAAAGTCACATTTAAAAAGCAAGCAATATATTCCAAATATTCACAGATTTTTTGTTTCAGAAACAATGAAATGCAATATACTCATAGTATTAGTGCTTTATAACAACATTTGGTAATCACTTTGTGTTACATTCAATACTTACAATAAAAAGTAAAATCTTGGGTGCTTAACTGTGCATTCAACGAGACAGTGGAATGTTACAATTTCCCCCACCCCAATACACTGCTTATAAGAAATTTCAGCCATTATAAATATACTTTAAACATAAATTCCTAACTTAAGACATCAAAAAGTTGGACATGAATGTAAAACTTCTTCTTTTAGCACATCATATGATTCAAAATGTTGTAAAATACAAAACATGTAGAACATCTGTCAAATCGCATTCCACTCATGTGCAAACCTGCCTTGAAAAAGTAGAAGGAAAAATCAGTAGCTTTGGCACAGCTACTAGTTTACACTGTTTTTCAAATATAAAGGAAGTAGGTAAAAATAAGTATCTTTAACGGCTTATCAGCCTGATTTTCCTTTGAAAGGTTATCTTTGCACTGGCAAAATAAAACCTACATAAGCCACTGGGTTTTTTATGATAATACATGTCATATGTACTAATACTATGAAGTGGTTCTAGAATTTGTTGCACGAAGTGCTAGACTTGCAAGAGATCTCATTGCACATGTAGAAACTTTGTGACAAATCCCAGCATTAGAAATGTAGTTGGAAGCCAAACGATAAAGCCGCTCAGCTCCAAAAGTGTTGAAATGCCCTGGAAGGACTTTCTCCACAAGACCTCTATTCACTAATTCTATTAATCGCTGGCAAGTTCCAACGTAGTCGCTTATCCTGCTGTAGGGAAGCCAGTCAATCATGGAACCGTCATACACAACATCCCCACTGAACAGTATCTTCCGTTCCCTGTCATGCAAACAAATGCTTCCTCGTGAATGACCAGGCATATGCATGACGGTGAGCTGTCTGTCACCCAGGCTGATCACGTCCCCTATGAGCAGAAAACAAAACACACAGAAAATTGAATTGTAAAGTGTGATCTCCAGAAATAACAAAATAATACATCACAGTTGCAGGTAGAAGAGTATTCAATGCATGCACAACCCTCCTTGTATTTGTTCCACACAGTCCCAGTGTTCAAATTGAATTCTGAGCTATTTAAGGTGGCAGAGAGCCTTCATGATGGCTAAAACTGTAAACCATATAATACATACATTTTGTCAAGGAAGAAATCAATATTTTCTGCAAAGCTCCAGCCTCACCTGGACTTTCAAAAATCGTTTTGGCAACCTCTTATCAATGCTACTAGAGAAACCTAGCAGTCACTAGATAATAATACAGATTCACTTATGGACTAACAATTCACCAGAATCGGAAGCAGTTCTTACACTGAGGAATATGGGTGAGATTCAAAGTCTCCATTCTTCTAAGGGGGAACCCTTTACTCCAGGGCAAGAAACCATCTGCTGGCAGAACACATCTCTTCCATTAGAGAAAAGCTCCTTGTAGCAGATCAAGATTCATGTTAGCAGAATGGGACATTTGGATCCAACCCATTGTAATCAGCAGAGTCTCCACAGATCTATATCAAAGCCAGTGTCTTATTCATCGATGACACGGAGCAGTGAACAGTAATTAAGCCAACTTTGTATATATTAAAACATTATTAAAGAGAGTAAAATCTAAAGAAGACAGTGAAGTACTAAAGGAAAAGAGGAAGAATATCTAACCAGATATAAGCTGATGGGGCTGACTGTTACTATGCAAATAAGAGATTTCGGAATCATTACAAATGTCACTGAAAATGTCAGCTCAGTGTGGTGCAGCAATGCCAGCACCCAATACAGTATTAGAAATGGTCACGAAGGAGATTAAAAAGAAACAAAACAGCAGGTACCGTAATTTTTTATATAAGACCCATGGTTTGCCCACTTTTGAAATATTGCATGCATTCTGGTTGCCCTCATCTCAAAAGGATATTGAAGTTGATGTGAGGGGAGGGAATGAAACATTTTTGTTAACAAAGCAAGGCCTCTAATTTAGAAAACAGTTGATACAAAAAAGGGATAGGGCAGAGATTTGTAAGGTTATAAATGTGAAAAGAACAGAGAGGGATAGAACAAAGTTTGAGTCCAGTGGCACCTTTAAGACCAACAAAATTTAATTCTGGGTATAAACTTTCATGTGCATGCACACTTATTCAGATGGTAACCAGGAGAACTCCTGGCACAATCTGGACAGTAATTCTTATCAGCTATCTGAAGAAGTGTGCATGCATACGAAAGCTTATACCCAGAATTAAACTTTGTCTTAAATGTACTACTGGACTCAAACATTGTTCTATTGCTTCAAACCAACATGGCTACCCATCTGAATCTACTACACAGGCGAGGTCAGTGATACTCAGTGGCTTTGAAGCCACATGGGGCTCTTTGGAATATTATTCCCCAGTGTGGCACCTACTCCATGTTTCAGGAAAATGGGCCACGTGGTTGCCTTGTGGTTGGCATTTGGTCCCCACCTTGAAATAGTTACTATCTGAGGAACAAGTAAGTTGTAATCCTCTGTGAAGTGCAGGCCTCATGCCAGGAATGGAAGTAAATGTGGCCCGTTGGGTTTAAGATAATTCCAATAGTGATTCTCTGCAAGCTGTGAAAAGAATACCATTGGAACAGGTCTATCACTGCCTTTTAGTCATCATTGCCAAGAACGGAGTCCATCTTATTTATTTATCGGGCTTATATCCCACCCTACCCCATAAGTGGGCTCAGGGCGGTCACAGCATATAAAACATAGTAATTATTAAAACATAATCCTGGGCCGGTGCTGTGGACAGGGGAGGCCAAGATAGTTGGACATCTACTGCCTCAACGGGAAGCCTGGTAGAAAAACTCCCTTTTAAAGGCCCTGTGGAACTGTAACAAGTCCTACAAGACCCTGATCTCAGTGTTCCACCAGGCTGGGGCCAGAGAAAGCCCTGGCCCTGGCTGAGGCTAGGCAGATGCCTTTTGGGCCTGTGACTACCAGATGTTGATCTGCAGAGTGCAAGTCTCTCTGGGGCACATGGGGAGAGATGGTCCTGTCGGTATGCTGGTCCCTGGCTGCACAGGGCTTGGACCAGATCCGGTACTTAATTGGCAGGCAATGCAGTTGGTGTAGCCCTGGCTGAATGTGTGCCTGCACAGGCATCGGCATCAGCAAATGCGCCGCCACATTCTGTACTAGCTGCAGTTTCTAGATCAGGTTCAAGGGTAGCTCTGCATAGAGTGAGTTACAGTAATCCAGCCTGGAAGTGACCATTGGACAGATCACTGTAGCTAAGTCATGGGAGGTGAGATAGGAAACTGGCTGCGTGACCAGTCGGAGGTGATAAAAGGCTGACCTGGCAACAGTGGTGACCTGGACCTCCACTGAAAGCAAGGCATCTAGGATCACCCTGAGGCTCCTCACCCTCAGCACTGGAATCAATGATGCCCCACCAAGCACTGAGAGCCAGATTCCTGATCCCAACCCGCCACGGCTCAGGTACAGGACCACCATCTTCATTGGATTTAATTTCAGCTGTCTCTGCTGTAGCCATCTAGCCACAGCCCCCAATGCCCTGTCCAAAACATCTGGAGCCGACCATCCATCCATTAACAGATAAAGCTGGGTGTCATTAGCATATTGATGGCAACCCAGCCCAAATGCCCAGACCAACAGAGTGAGGGGTGCATGTAAACAACATTGGAGAGAGGATCATCCCCTGCAACACACCACATTCCAGTGGGTACCACTGAGATATCTTCTCCCCAAGCGCCACTTGTGTCACCGACCATGGAGAAAGGAGGACAGCCATTGTAAAGCAGTCCCCTTTATCCCTGCATCGGCAAGGTGGTGGGTCAAAAGATTGTAACTGACCATGTTGAACACTGCTGTCAGATCAAGAAGCACCAGCTTAGATAAAGCAGTACATGTTAATTAGATGGATGTTTGAAACTAAATTCTCATGTCACTGGCTATTTCACAACTGTTTCACTTTCATGATTATCCACCTTCTGAGTTTTGATATGTAGACAAGACAATCAAGAGGCAAATAATCACAACATTAACCGCAGCACAATACCCAGTATGTGAATCCTGTTACAGGCATTATGTCACAACATTTATTAGATCTTGCTAGTATGTCAATATAATACAATAGGAGCATGGCATGTGAGAAGTATGAATCAGAGTAAGCTTGAAATCGTGAAACAAGAAATGAAGCATTTAAACACTGTTATCCTGCAAGTGAGTAAACTAAAGGGGACTGGATTAGGACATTTTCAGCCAGAAAATTACGAACAGAAGAAACTGAGTTGCTCCAATAGTGAGGCAAAAGATGCAGCACAAGTAGTCAGGGACTATAATCCAAAATCTGACAAAATATTGACTATGGAAAACCTACCAACATAACCATAATTTAAGTTTACGCCACAGCTACAGATGCTGAATAGGAAGAGATTGAAAGCTTTTATGCAACATGGGGGGGGGGGGTGATCACACACCGAAACAAGATGTGCTGATAATCATAGGTCTTAATCTATAGAAGTTATGGTCTTGGAGATGGTACATTTTAGCCCGGGGAATGTAAACTATGTGTGAAACAGAGACCAGCTCCCAGGCACTGTTTGTGTTTCAGAAGATAGCATTAACCAAGGTGCAATCCTTCCTGGGATAGAACAAAAGTCTCAGTTCTATTCAGGGTGCCACATACATGATCAGATGCAGAAGATGGAGAAGCTCTATTCTCTCTTCTAAAACAAGACCAGGAGCTGATTGTGGTACAGACCATGAATTGTTAATATAGAAAATTAGAATACTATAAACATTAGAATAAAACTGAAGAAAAACATCAAAACCCTCATAGTGCCAAAATACAATCTGAACAACATTCCTGAAGGGTTTGAAGACCATGTAAAAACATATTTGCATTACTAAGAATAAGTGAACATGAACCAGAAGAACTCTAGGTTGAAACCAGAGATATTCTTGAGGGAATGTGCAAAGATTATTCCTGTAGCCAAAAGAAATGAAAAGGCTTGATGGATGACTGATGAAACACTTAAAATTGCTACAGAGAAGCAAAAGGTGACAGAAGTAGAATCCAAAGTCTAAATGCAGTATTCCAGTAACTGGCACGTAGTAACAAAACTGTTATAATAACCAGTTTCAAGAAATTGGAGAGAGCAACAAAAAAGGAAGAACAAGAGATCTGAAGAAATCAAAGGGAAATTGAAAGCATGGTTGGGCATGCTGAAAAACCAAGATGGAAATACATTTACTGAAAAGGACAAATAAAGAAAATATGAGAACAATACACTGAAGAACTATACAGAAAAGATGAAAGGTTGACAGATTCCTTAAAAAAATCTTTTGAACAAGAATGCACAATTTTAGAAAGTGAAGTGAAAGTTGCACTTTAAGCAATTTGGAGAAACAAATCACCAGAAGTAGGTGGGATATCAATAGAGTTATTCCAAATCACAGAAATGTAGTCGCCCATAAAAAATCTTAACAAGAATATGCCAACAAATATGAAAAACAAAACAATGCCCCACGGACCGAAACACTCAATCTACATTTCAATTCTGAAAAAGTAGACATCAAAGACTGCAACTATCAGACCACTGCATCGATTCCTCATGTGAGTGGTGATGTGCAAAACCTTACAACAAAGACTGTTACTATATATGGAACAAGAAATGCCAGATGTTCAAGCTGGATTCAGAAAGGGAAGAAGCACTTAGGGCAGCCAAGCTGCGGCGGGGGATCCGTGCGTCGTCACAGGATCCCTGCCGCGGGGGACAGCGATACGCGTTGCACCGGCGTCGCCAGGATGTGACGCTATGCGTCGCTCTGGCAACTGGACTGTTTGGAGTCCCGTTGCCAGAGCTACGCGTAGCGTCACATCCTGGCGATGCCGGTGCAACGCGTATCGCTGTCCCCCCGCAGCAGGGATCCTGTGACGAC